TGTGTGTGTGTGTGTGTGTGTGTGTGTGTGTGTGTGTGTGTGTGTGTGTACAGAGTTTATGGGAGTCATCTCTCCTTCCAACTCAGGTCATAGGGCTTGGCAGCGAGTGCCTTCACCCTCGGAGCCATCTCCTGTTTCTGAGGCAGGGTCTCTCTCCGAATCTAGAGCTCGTAGATTTGGCTAACCTGCCCGACTCCTCTTCCCGAGTGCCGAATTTACAGGCATGTGCCACAGTCCCAGCTTCTCACGTGGGTACCAAGGACCCAAATCCAGGTCCCCGTTCTTGCATGGCAAGGAAGCCATCCAAAGCTGCTTTGAAATCCCAACCTCCTGTCTTTTTGACGGAGCAGTTTGAGCGCTTGTTTTTTAGGAGTTGTATATTCCTACCAGTGGAACCGAGCATTTTGAACACGTGTGTTGAGTTTTTCTTTGGGGGGGGGGGGGGTTGTGAGGTGACACGGTGAGCCTGTGTTTCACTTTCGGGAGAACCGCGCCCAGTTTTCCACAGCGGCGTTCTCTTTCCACTCTGACCGGTAATGGACGAGGATTCCGGTTTCTACACGTTCCCATGACACTTAGGGTCACCGACTCAGGCTTTGTCTTGTTTTTTTTTACCTTGTGCCTTCCCAATAAAAATGAGTTGGTACCTCACACTGATTGTGTTCGTACTCACGTAGGTGCACAAGTTCGTGCTGCGGGTGTGTGTACGCCAGACCACCTCAAGTATCCCCCCCCCCCCCCAGCTCTGTCTCCTTTGGCTTTATAGACAGAGCCTTTCAGTGGCCTGCTCCTCTCTGGCTGGTACTGAGCCTGGAATCCCCATCTCCGCCTCCACTGGGCTAGGGTTACAAGTGTGTACCAACTCACCCAGTTTTTTGTTTTTTGTTTGTTTGTTTTGAGACAGGATTTCTCTGTGTAGCCCTGGCTGTCCTGGAACTCACTCAGTAGACCGGGCTGGCCTAGAACTCACAGAGAGCCAGCCGCCTGCCTCTGCCTCCTGAGCGTTGGGATTAAGGGCGACCGCCACCACCTCCTGGCTCGTCCCGCCTTTTACATAGGTTTTAAGGATCAAACTGGGCTCTTTCTTCATGGTTGTGCAGTAAGCAGTTTCCTGAGCGAGTGGTTTCTCCACCCCCTCGGAGAGGATAGCAGTTTTAATTTTCATGTTATACGCCTGTTGGAAAGATAAGTGTTCAGATCCTGCTCACTCCCCCTGCCCCCCAGTGCTGAGAATCGAACCCAGGCCCTCACCTAGGTCAGGCAAATGGTTTTCTACTAAGCTGCAGCCCTAGGCTCAGGTTCGGCTAGTTCTTTGCTGGGGCATTTCCTACATTCCAGACACTTGGGCTGTGCATGAAGTATGAACACGTGAGTTTGCCAGTATAGAGAAGTCAAGAGGATTTTTTTCTTTAACTTCCTTGTTCTCTGCTTCTCTTAATGAAAACAGATCTGGGCTTGAATTCCCGAAGGCTAATTCTAAGGGCACCTTTAGGTGAGGCTGTGCCTTCTCCCTTGTCCTCCTGCAGCACCTACTTGGCTTCAGTCCTGCCTGGCCACGGAGTTGGGTTTTGCGATCCCCGATTGAAGCTGCGTAGTTACTCTCTTCGGTTATTTGGAGACCGATGGGCCCTCCTCCTCCAACTCTGTCAGCTTCTCACGCTGCACTAAGGAACACGGATTTCTAGTAAAAGTTTCCCGGTTCTTTTTAAGAAGATAAAAAGAAAGAAGCATCTGCCCTTTGGGGCCAGGTGTTCAGGGTGTGTGCAGAGAGGTACAATAACTCAGGCCTTGAAATGACTGAATGACTAGGGTGGTTCCCCCGTTTACGAGCAAATTATACTGGTATGGGTTTCTAGAACTTTTTCAAAACATTTTATTTATTTATGATTTTATGTTTTTGCTTTTTATGTTTTAGATGAGTGGGGTTTTGTTTTGCTTTGTTTTGTTTGCCTGAATGTTCATCCATGTACCCCTTTCGTGCAATGCCTGTGGCAGCCAGAAGAGGGCGTCTGATCCCCTGGAACCGGAGATACAGTTTGTGAGCTGCCTTGTGGGAGCTGGGAACTGAACCCCAAGACTTCTGAAAGAGTAGCCAGGTGCTTTTAACTGCCAAGCCGAGTTTCTAGAACTCTTTAACTCTTTGGAGAAGCTGCTCTCCCCTTAACACTGCCCCCACCCCCCGTGTCACCTGATAGAAGTGTGGAAAAAATAACACGGCAAGTTAGATACTCTCTGATGATCGGACTTGGGATGAATACAAAGAGAAAAGGCAGGCACGGCAGGCCCAACTGTAACTTGCAACAGTTGCGCTGGTTTCCATTTCCAACTTTGCTGTTCCTCATCCTTTCTGACCCTTGTCGTAACAGCCTCTTTACCTTGAGAATCGGTGATCACAATTCTCACCTGTACTTCAAGGTCTTGTTACATAGCGGCTGGAGCTGGCCCGGTACTCACATGTAGCTCGGGCTGGCCTCCTCTCAGCAGTTTTCCAGGTTTCCAAATAAACCTGTTTGCTGAGGGTGATGGAAGGGAGATGGGGTGTCTTCTCCGGGGATAGTCTGTCTTGGCTGGCATAGGACCTCCTTACTGGGGCGCCAGCTCCTCTTCTCCTGTTGCCCTGTGGTGCCTGAGATCACCATGCAGTCTGAGGCAGTAGCCTCTGCTTTGCCACAGCATCTGAAGGGGGGAGCCTGAGGGCATCCAGTGGAACGTGGGACTCCCTTCCTACACACAGCCTCTTACTCAGAGATTTCAGCAGTGTTTCCTGCTGCCACTATCCACTATCCTAAACCCCCTGCCTATTCTGTCTGACCCAGAAGAGACAGACAAACTGGCCCATTGAGAAGCCAAGAAATCCAAGGCCGTGGATCCCACTTCTGGGTCCAACCATGGGCTTCATTGGTTTCCCCAGGAAGAACCACAAGAGGCAGGGCCTGGGGTGCAGGTGCAGTGAGATCTGTCTGTCTCTGTACCCCTGGGCACCTCATCATTTCCAGGAAGGTGAAGAAGACCCCTTGCCCCCAGCTGAGGATGGCCTGGTCCCCATCCTGCTGCTCAGAGGTTAGGCTTTGAGGTTAGGGAAGGAGTGCACGTGAGCACAGTTTATAAGATCTGGAGAGAATGAAACTGGGTGTGGTAGTGCACGCCTACCATTCCAGCACTCAGGAATGGAGGCAGAAGTTCAAAGACATCCTCAGCTAAATCGAAGTGAATTTGAGGCCAGCCTGGGATACACTAGACCTTGTTTAAAAAGAGAGAGAGAGAAAAACAACGTATCTGTCCTCAATATACCAACACATTGTAAACAGCTGGCCTGCTAGCTAGCTAGCTATGTGTGCCAGACTGTTGGTGCCTGGGAGACCCTGCCTGGCACCCATCCAGTCCCTGGCTCCTCTCTCCACAGTTCTGCGATGGTGAGTTGCACCAACCCCCTGCCTGTCGGAGGCCTCAGCTACATTCAGGGCCACACCAGCTCCCATCTTGTCAACACAACTGTGGGTGAGTGCCTGGAGGCCACAGCACAGAGGTTCCCCAACAGAGAGGCTTTGGTCATCCTCCATGAAAACATCAGGCTGAGCTTCGCCCAGCTCAAGAAGGAGGTAAGTACTGACCTTAAACCTTCAAACAGCAACTGCTGGGCCCTCGCTGCTGTAGTTGAGTGGAGCTGAAAAATGGGTGCATACCCATGGGGCCGTGTGACAGGAACCCTTGAGGACCCTACTGTTGATTAGGAGGCAGAGGCAGAAATGACCTCCTCTCCCAGTGGTTCTGGAACATTTGTATACTGTGTCCCCTCCCCACCCTCGCTGTGCTCAAGTCCATTTCATCCAGTCTACCGAGGCCTGGCGAGCCCCTTGTTCCTAGTGACCCCCAGGCTAAGACAGAAAGCAGGAGTCAAGGGTCCCTCTTGCCTGCCCCCACCTCAGCCCATTGTTCCCCTTCTGTTTGTGCCAGGTGGACAAAACTGCTTCCGGTCTTCTGAGCCTCGGCCTCCGAAAGGGCGACCGGCTGGGCATGTGGGGACCCAACTCCTACGCGTGGGTGCTCATCCAGTTGGCCACTGCCCAAGCAGGCATCATCCTGGTGAGAAGGGGTTTACCTGGCACAACTGGGTACTCGGAGGGATGTCATTCAAGGGGCGCCTCTCAGATACAGAACCAGACCGGTGTCTATCTGGCTTCAGGCTTGGTGATGCTTCCACCTAAGGCTCACCAAAGATCGCCGGCAGAGGGTAGGGTGCCGCCTTGCCCCTTCTGAGGGGAGCAGTGGGAGCACGGAGAACCTGTCCCGGGTACCAACACACCCTCTCTGCTCCCCCAGGTGTCTGTGAACCCAGCCTATCAGTCCTCAGAACTGGAATATGTCCTCAGGAAGGTACAGCTTGCTGCTGACGGGGAAGGGCATTTTGGATGATGTATTATAGAGGCTAATGGGGTGAGAAAGGGCATGCCCAGTGGATGCTGAGTGTCTCGTGCCTCAGTGTTGGTAGGGTTGGAAGGAGGCCTTAGCTCCACAGAGAGGGCCTGGGTCAGTCATAAAGCCGATGTAAGTGTTGGGAAGAAATGTTGGGGGTGGAGTGTGTGTGTTGGGGTAGTGTGTGAGTGTGTCATTATATATGTCGTGTGTATCTCTTAGGACTGGTGTGTGTGTGTGATTATATGTATCTAGGGATGTGGTGTGTATGTCTTATGACTGGGGTGTGTGTGTGTGTGTGTGTGTGTGTGTGTGTGTGTATGATTATGTGTCTAGGGATGTGATATGTATGTCTTAGGACCAGGGTGTGTGTGTGTGTGTGTGTGTGTGTGTGTTTTAGTGGGGTACAATGGGAGTACATTGGAACATTGGAGGGAGTACATTGTGTGTGTATGTTGCTACCTGGGTGTGTCAGGATAGCTATTCAGGTATGTGAGAAAGAGCAACTGGCTAGTGAGGGCTCCTAAGTCTGAGGCTTCCTGCTGACCGCAGGTAGGGGTACTTCTCTCACAGGTAGGCTGCAAAGCCATCGTGTTCCCTAAACAATTCAAGACCCAGCAGTATTACAACATACTGAAGCAGATCTGTCCCGAGCTGGAAAAGGCCCAGCCAGGGGCCTTGAAGAGTGAGAGGTGGGTATGTCCTGGTTTCGGGGAATGCCGTGTGACGTCTCCTCCTACCCAAGGTGGAGCTGCTGTCTTCCCCAAGCCATCTTTTAGCCGTTTCTCACCATCTTTTCTGTCTCCCAGGCTCCCAGACCTGACCACAGTCATCTCAGTGGATAGCCCTCTGCCGGGGACCCTGCTGCTGGATGATGTGGTGGCAGCCGGTGGCCAGGAGCAGAATCTGGCCCAGATGCAGTACAATCAGCAATTCCTGTCCTGTTACGACCCCATCAACATCCAGTTTACCTCGGTAGGATAGCGGTCTCCAGTCCCAAGCCCTGATGAGACCTGCGTCCTCCCTGTGTCCCCTCACTGGGATGGGGAGATGGGAGAAAACATTAGGGTTCCAGCCTTCTCTCTGCCTCAGAAAATTCAGCAACTGGATTGTTGTTTGTTTGTTTTTGTCACATGCCCTTTCTGGATCCTGTTGCTTCCAGCACAGAGAGATTCACAGTCACACGAGCTTGGAGAGGCAGAGCTCAAAGAGTTCACCAAGGGGAATCAGGCCCAGAGAGGGAGTTTTCCCAAATCCATGCAGCTGGTTAGTGGTGGAGTCCTCTGAGCCACCTTATAGGATGTGTAAACGGGACAAAGACAGAAGTGTGTTCCCTTTTGTATTTCTGGATCCTAACATCTGGCCCTGCACAGCACACTGTGCATAAACAAAGGGAGGAAGTGGATTTAGGACAACCATATTCTACTCTTCTGACCCGGGCCCCCAGCTCCTCTGACCAGTGACCAAGGAAGATGAGAAGGAAACCTGGAGAGGAAAAGGACGAACTGTCACTTGCTTCTCTTCTTAGGGGACAACTGGCAAACCCAAGGGGGCCACTCTTTCCCATCACAACATTGTGAACAACTCCACCCTGATAGGCCAGCGTCTGAAGATGCCCACGAAGGTGAGGCTGGGATGGGCCCAGGTGAGGTTTATACAGGCAGCAGGGTAAGGGGTGAGACAGCTTGCCGGCGGCTCCCCCTGCTGGCCGGCAGAGCGGGCTCCGTGACAGCCTCCTCTCTCCATCTCCAGACTGCAGAGGAGTTGCGGTTGGTCCTGCCTAGTCCCCTGTACCACTGCCTGGGCTCCGTGGGGGGCACCATGGTGTCTATGGTCCACGGTGCCACCCTCCTCCTGTCTTCTCCAAGCTTCAGTGGCAAGAAAGCGCTGGAAGCCATCAGCACAGAGAAGTGGGCATTGGTGGACAAGCCACCTGTGGGCTGATGAGACCCTCCAAACCCTTCCTCCTGGACCCACCCCCTCTTCTCTGAGATGCTTCCTTCCACCAACCAGGACAGCCGGGATGGGGGTGGCAGGGGCTAGAGGTCCTGCCTTGAGCCTCTTCCTGTTCTCAACTTTGGTCCTTGCTGAGAGTTCATGGTGGATGGGGTAGGGGGCTCTGTCTCACTTCTAAACCTAATTTTGAGGTCTTCCTTTGTGCAGGGGCACCCTCCTGTATGGCACACCCACGATGTTTGTGGATATTCTGAATCAGCCGGACTTCTCCAGTTATGACTTCTCATCCATACGTGGAGGTGAGGCACCATCAAAGGAGGGACAGCTTCCCTGGCCCTGGTGAAGCCAGTTTTTTTTATAGAGGAGGCAGGAAAGACACTGTAGAAACATGGGTGGGAGGGGAGACAATTCTCAAGTGTCTCTGAATGCTGGGCCAACTTCAGCTTTTATGTGTTGTGCCAAGGCTCGGGGTCTCTCCCCCTTTACATGAGTAGGTGAAAGGGGTCCACCAGGCCTAAAGAATGGGGAAATGTTTTAGCTTCTCTTTTATGTCTCTGTGATGTTGAGGATTGAACCAGGGCCTCCTGCATGCCAGGCAAGTGTTCTATAACACAACTGTATCCCCTGCCCTCCATTTACCGCTTTGGAGACCGAATCTCACTAAGCTACCTAGACTGGCCTGGGACTCACTCTGTATCCCAGTCAGACTTTGAATCTGCAGTCTTCCTGCCCCAGACTCCCAAGCACCTGCCATCAGTCCCATCAGCCCCTCTTTCTGATCCAGGTGTGATTGCTGGGTCCCCAGCACCCCCGGAGTTGATCCGAGCCATCATCAGCAAGATGAACATGAAGGAGCTAGTGGTGAGTGGTGTTAGAGCCACAGCTCTGCAGGGCGCTGGCCAGGCCTGGAGTGAGTAGGGACTGACAAGCCAGACCAGAAGCCCAAAGGCGAACCTCCAGTGTAGACTCTGCTCCAGGAAGCAGAGGTGAGGCATAACTGTGCGTGTGAGCTTATCAACTAACACCTGGTAAGGTAGGGATAGGTGAGAGGGTAGTAAATGTTATACACATGGAGATTCATGTTTATAGAAATCTGGGGCAGAAACGCGACACGGAAGGATGTGCAGCCAAGCACTGGTATCCTGTTAGCACACCCTGGCAGGCAGGGACTGGCAGAGTTGGGGCATGGGCCCGAAATCCTTTCTGGCAATAAGGGTGGGACAAGGGCCTGATGTTCGTTTCCAAATGGCAGGGGAAGGAGGGAACTGAGGAAGGTGGGAACAGGAGTGTGGCCACCCAGTGGCCACCGCATTTCGGCTCTGATGGACACGGGGAAGGGGGTTCCGCAAGAGCTTCTCTGAGAGGAGCCGCGGCTGGACCCAGGTACAGTGGTTGGGGAGGTGTTCCGTGTTCTCCCTAGGACCCCGCTGGATGGAGCTGGGGTGGTAATGAGAGCCCAGTGCCCCCTGCCAGGATGTGTGCCAGTGTGTAGGGGCGGCTCTGCGCATTGGCAGGGGCTGTGGACGGTAGGAGGAAAGTCAGTAGTCTCTCCAGCAGAAAGCAGTCACCAGGACTGGCTGGGTCAGGACCTGCAGTGAGGGAAGGATGGACAAGACAGAGGATCTGAGTGCCCCTCCAGGGGTGGAGATAGCAGCACCCTGGCTGGAATCTCCAAAGGCAGACAGTGGTGGCCTCCCTGCCCGGCCCCTACCTGTTTAATGGCGGCCGGCTTTCTTGGACCTCTTGGTGGGGGATTTGCAGCTGCGGAGGGCGTCTGTGTCACGAATACGCTGACCCTTGGTCTTGGCTGGGGAGGAGCAGGTCGCATCCGGTCGAGAAGGCTTGGCTTCCAACCACCTGCAGAGACAGAGCTGCTGGGCTTGGGGAAGCTGGGTGGGACTGCTTGGGGAAGGGACCGTGCCCTAGAAAACCCTGGAGCTGTCATTTTCATTTGACAAATGAGAAAATGAAGCCACTCGGTCCAGGATCTACTAGGCAGCTGCTAGGCTATATATCCAGGCTGTCCTCCTAAAGGACCATCACAGAGAAACTGGGGATTACGTGGAGAAATAATCTCACCGCCGAAGGCCACGGAGCTGGCAGGTGCATTTCCACGGGTTGTTGGTGAGCGTGAGGGTCTCCAGGTTGTCGAAGGGGAAGGAGGAGGGCAACTGGTTCAGGCGGTTGTTCTCCAGGTGCACGTGTTTCAGCGTGGTCACGCCCGAGAAGGCACCGTCTGAGAACTGGGAGGTAAGGAAGGCAGAAGTGAGCATGTCGAGTCCAGTCTCCGGGCTCTCCTAGCTCTCTCCTCAGAGGACCAGGGCCTTTCCCTGGACACGCGCGCCAGTTTGTTGAGGAGCTGCAATTTTTCCAAGCAGAATGACCAAGTTGTCTGCGTGATGTCATCCACAACACCTTTTTTTTGAGATGGAAGGTGTCCTTTCCAATACGTAGATGGAAAATGGAAGAAATCCAGTCCCTTGGCCAGGGTCACCTTGCCAGTAAACAGTAGCTGCCTGACCACACCCTGTCCCCCACCTCCTAAGCAGCACCCTCCCTGCACAAACACTGGGTCTGGGGAGCAGCCAGAGCTTGGCTCTGAGAGCCCAGATGGGCACACAGTAAACCTGGTCAGTGTTTGGTGGGATGGGCAGTGGGCCAGGCTCCCCACATCTCCAGGGTTCTGGGATTTCCCCCCAGTACTGTCCTCATTGCTCCGCCCGGGCCTCTGCCAAATGCTATCTGTGGAGCCACCTTGGTGGGGACTTTGGCTGGGACTCATGGCTCCAGAGGAAATGTTGTGTTGGTGCTCTCATCTCAGCCCCGGTACCACAGTTCTTTGGCCTCTCCATCCCCAGCTGGCCCCTGTGTGCTGTTCTACTGCTCACCATCCTAGCATTAGGGTGGTCTATCATGAGCTGGGGTGAGACCAGGCCAAAGAAGACTCACCCAGAAGGCTCCGTCTACCCAGACAGAGGTTGGCCTCTGCCCATGTTAGCTTCTGCCCTGTGACCTCTCTCACAGGGCAGCCCGGCTTGGGATGTGGCGTTCTCTAGAAACAAAACTGCCCTCTCTCTTGTTCTGGTCTCTGCTCAAACCCCCTGGCTGACACTGTGTAGGAAGGTGACTTCTAGTTCCAAGAAAGGGATTCTGCTCTGATACAGCCCCACCTGGCTAGACTGAACATTCCGGGGGGAGGAAGGACCGAGAAGGGTCCAGGGGGTTGGTGACCGGAGAAGGCAAAAGTCAACACGCTGTCTGGGGGACAGTGAGACAGTCAGTCTGCTCTGTGAGGAGACACTTGGGGGCTTGTGCCAAGGATCACATGTGTTTGTTCATGGGTCCCATGAGCATTAAGCCTGCACCTTGGTGAAGCCTTTGGTCTCTGTGCCTTGGTTTCCCTCCTGACTCAGTTGAAATGGACCTGAGACGGCAATAAAATTGAGTGTGTTTTTGGCCCACGGAGGGGATGGGGCATTCATCAGGGTCTCCGTAAGGTCTTTGCTGCCCTGCTCATCCTCCAGCCCCTCATTTTACCTTAGCACCACAGGCCGGCCCCCACAGGGAACAGGGTCTCTTTGTGTCCTCTCAGCTTCTCTGGAAGGCGCCTCAGTGGACAAACCTTCCTTTATGGGATGGTAGGCTCACTGGAGGCGGGGAAAACGGCAGAAGAGGGGTAGAAAGCCCAACAGGAAGAGCTGTTCACGGTGGGCTTTGGGGCAGATGCCTCCCCCAGAGGACATCTGTGGGACCAGAACAGCCCCATCTCTTACAAGGAGGAGTCCCCAGGGAGCACTGGCTGAGAAGAATCATGACCAGGTGAGGGAGAGAGAGGGATGGGGAAGGGGGGGCGTGTCAAAGCCTGAGAGAGAGGTGGCAAGGCTCCTTGCTTTGGTGATAATCTGAGGGGCCAGGAGCCCAGAAAGAGGGAACGAACGCTGCCCCAGTGTGGTGCTAGAGCACCAAGGCACTCACCTTCTCCAGGTTGGTGTTGTCCAGCCAGAGGGTCTCCAGGTATCTGCCGAAGGACTGGAAGGCATTGTCTGGGATGCTCTTCAGAGGGTTGTGGGACAGCTTCAGCTCCTCCACCACCCGAAGTTTGCTCAGGGCAGCCAAGGGGTAGCTAGACAGCTGGTTCTTGTCCAGGTGGAACTTGGCGAGGTTCTCGACATCATCCAGGGAACCAGACTGCAGGGAACTGAGGGCGTTTTCTGACAGGTAGAGCCAGCGCAGGTCCTTGGCACCCTGGAAGGCTCCGGCACGCAGCTCTCGGATTTTGTTGTTGTTGAGCTGTAAGATGAAGAGGTTGACCAGAGGGGAGAGCAGCCCCCGAGGCAGCTCCGACACCTTGTTGTGGTCTAGATAGAGGTAAGTGAGTTCAGTCAGGTCGTCGAAGGCTCCGGCTCGAAGCACCCGGATGTCGTTGTGGGACAGGTACAGGTAGATGAGCTGCTTCAGGCCCCGGAAGGCGCCAGCGGCCACCTCTCGGATGCCACAGTGCTGCAGGTGCAGCGAGACCAGGTTCGGCATGGTCCGGAAGGAGTTGGTGGCCAGCACCGGGAAGTTGTTGCGCTGGAGGTTGAGCAGTTTGGTCGACTCTGACACCTTGGGGATCTTCTGCAGCCCCACCTTGTCGCAGATGACATGCTGCAGGTCCCCGTGGCAGTGGCAGTTTTGGGGGCAGGCGGCCAGCGCCTGAGGGAGCATGGCGAGGAGGCCCAGACTGAATAAGAGCATGCGGGCCATGGTCAGGATGCCTGGAGCCGGGGCTGGGGGGCTAAGGCAGCGACAAGTCCTGGACTCTTGGGTCTCTCGGCCCATTTATAGGGCAGCCCTGACCGCAGTTGGCAGCAGAGCTAGCTACTACGTGGAACATCCAAGCCACTGATTTAACCCCCTCCCGCCCAGATACACCCCCCCCCCCACCCCCACCCCGTCCTCAATGCCTAGGGCCTCTTTCCACAGCAGGCGACCATATGTAGGGTTGGGGACCCTTCCCCGGAGCCCCAGCTTCTTGCTTCTTGCTTCTTGCTTGCAAACGCTATGCTGCACCTCTCCCTCCCCTCCTGTACCTGGACCCCCACCCCGAGGGAGGGTGGTAATAGGTGTGTTGAGGGCCTCTGAATTTCCACTGGGCAGAGGGAGGCGTTCCCAGAACTTATTTATTTGCTCAGCTTCGAGTCTCCACGTCCCCCTCCCCCATACACCCTTGGCAGACAGGTCACCCCGGAGGGAGGAAGTGGGGCCCGACGGCCGGATGCGCCTCTCCGCAGTCGGCCAGCCAGCGGTGCGCTTTAATGGGGCTGTTGTGTCCTGCAGGCGGAGCGGAGCGTGAGAGCGTTTGTGGGTCGGGCGGGCCCTGCCTTCTGGGTAGACCTTCCTCAGTTCACCGCCAGGAGATGGGGGAGCTGTTTGATGCTGCTGCTTGACAACGGTGCGCCCTCCTCTGCTCCTTCTCTCGGAGCCTAGTGGCACCGGGCTTCTTACTCTTTCCTTTGCACCCTCGTTCCCTTCTGTAGGGCCGAAAGCTAAACAGAAAAGTGGGGACTGGTGTGGGGGGGTCGTGAACCGGCACCACACCTGGAGACCGCAGGCCCCGCTGAACAAGCTTCTTCGCACATCCTCCTTAATCTCCCCCAAACATCCCATCTCCGGATCCTCCCTTCGCCGGTGGTTAGGACCCACCCCTGGGGGGGGAGGGGTCTCAGAGTGGCGGCCTGGTGGCGCCAATGTGTACTTGGCAGAGGCCAGACCTGGGCAATGACCTCAGGACTGTGTGAGCTGGTGGGCGGTGGAGTGCTGGCTAGAGGGAACCAACCTGGCTACTTAGGCGGCCAGATGCTAGGCTGTGGGCAGCCCCACCCCGGTGGACCAGGCTTCCCGTTCAGTCGCCAGCCGCAGCGTCTGGAGCCCTGTGGAAAAGGGAGGGCGAGCAGGCAGGTTACGGCTTTGGCCCAGGGTGAGCTCTGGTTTGCCTGGCAAGGGATGCTGTCTGGTTTTGGGAGGTGGGTAGAGGAACCATGTAGCCCAGCTCTGCCAGAACCACACCACCTGATGGTGTGGCGGGAGTGGAGGCCACCAACAGAGGCCCCGATTAGGGTACAAGGTATCTAGGCCTTCTCATGACACCCAATAAATAGTTGTGGGGTTTGGTCTCCAGGCCTACCCTTCCCCAAGCCCCTCTCACTCCTTGCCTCTAGAATGGGGTGTGTGGGGGTCATTCTTGGCCTAGAACATTCTCCGTTGGTATTTAGGCTGGCTGCTAGTTCTGTTGCACAGGACGTTCTAACCGCGGGAGCTTTTAAACTCCTGCTCTGGCTGTGTTTTTTGTTTTGATGAAAATAAATGCACAAGAAAAAGTCTCCAGAGACTAGGCATTTGTCCCAGGTTGGGGAGGAGGGCGGGAGTTATGTCTGTGTGTCTGTACCACTCGCGCTAGATCGAGCGAGGCCGGCTGGCTTTCTCATCAAGTTTATGGGGGCCTCTGGCTTGGTAGAGAGGGACAGAGGATGTTGTGGCCTGAAATCAAGAAGGAAGGACTAAAGCAACCTGGGGATGGGAGAAAAGAAGTATGGGTGTTGGTGGTGCCAGAAGCCACAGGCACCACAGGGGAGTGACAGAACCTTGGCCATGAGAGACTGGCTTCTTATTTTGTTTGAGACCAGGGGCCCTGCACAGATCTGCACTTCTGGCTCCTGACCTCTGGCTCTTCTCCCCTCACCTCAGTGCTCACCATTCAGCTGCCTAGGGTAGGTCACGCCAGCTCTCTTGTCACTCAGTTCCCTCTCCAAGCAGTCTTTTTGGCCCCCCTAGGTTGTTTACGGAACCACAGAGAACAGTCCCGTGACCTTCATGAACTTCCCAGAGGACACCCTGGAGCAGAAGGCTCAAAGTGTGGGCAGAATTATGCCTCACACGGAGGTGAGCCCCTGACGGATGCCCTTGGAGCTCCCCCCCCCCCCGCGCCCCTTGAGGACAGTTAGGGCTTTTCCATCAGACATCCAAAGGGCTCACTCAAATAAGGAGGAGGGCCTCGGCCGTGGGGGCTTGCTGGACCTGGCCCTGCTCTGTGGGCTGAAGCAGGGAAGGGGAAGAGCTGGGACAGCAGCCCTGAGCAGCCGCCAGCCGAACCTCTCCTCAGCCACCCTTCCTGTCTGAGGTGTGTTTTTGCCAAGCCCACTGTCTGTCTTGGGGCAGCTAGGCCAGTCTCAAAAAGGAGCCAGAACACAGAGTTGTTCTTTTTTTATTTTTTTATTTTCTTTCTGCAGCTTTCTTCCCCCAGGCGCCTGCCTCTCACTGTTCTTTTGTGTGAGTGTGAACTCTTCTTTCCCCAAGCTGTCTGCCCCTTGAAGGTCCCTTGTGCTTCAAAGGCCCCAGAACACTTCCCAGTCTGAGACTCCTAGCTGTGACTCCTCTCTGGCTCCAACCATGTGGCCTTATTTAGATATCACTGAGCTTCTGTGCCTCTCTGGGGTAACTTGGAGGAGGCCCACACATTCGATCCCCTTGACTCTCTGTCACCCTCTCGGGGGTGCACCCTGAGGCTTGTCAGGGAGACATCCTTCTCCCCATTCCCCAAGTGCAGACATGGAAGCACCCGGACCCACCTTCCCTTGGCACATTGGCTGTGGCTATTTGTCCGCTAAGACTCTGGGTTCTCCCTCTCCCAATCACGTGGCACTGCCGTCATCTTAGGTCCTTTGCTGCCTTGTGGGAAAGAAGGGAGACAATGGCCTTCCCTTCTACATGGTTTATAATTCAGCAGCTGGCATGGCACTCTTCAGGCCTTCTTCAAGGCTGCTTACCACTGAGCCGTTTTCAGTACTCTGGGTAAAAATACAGCTGGAGCAGGAATTTAAAAGGGTTGAAGCATCTTTCCCCTTCCACCCCCCCCCCGCCTGCCCAGCATACACACACACACACACACACACACACACACACACACACACACACCCTCCCCATGGTTCAAGCCCAGTGTGGGTCCCTGCATGGCTATGGATCTGTTCTAGCCTCTCTTTCCTTTCCCTGGACTGGGATGAGTAGAGCCAGCAGCTTCCTTTCTGGGAAGGGGGAGGGGGAGAGAAAGCAAAGCTCCCCCCCCCAACCCCCACCATCCCGAAGCAAGAGAATGGGAGGCTCACGCTGGACACTGACCTGTCCCAGGCCCAGATCGTGAACATGGAGACAGGGGAGCTGACGAAGCTGAACACGCCCGGGGAGCTGTACATCCGAGGGTACTGCGTCATGCAGGGCTACTGGGGCGAGCCTCAGAAGACCTTCGAGACGGTTGGACAAGACAGGTGGTATCGGACAGGGTGAGACGGCGAGACGATGCGGACGCTGTGGCTGCCGAGTGGGGCAGAGCTGGGAAAACGAAAGCAGCACACGGAAGAGGAAGGTCACGGGGGTTAACTGGATCCCTCTTGTCCTAGACACCTGGGGGGGTGTGGCTTGGTAGCTGAGCTCTTGGATGCCCTGTGTGAAACCACAGGCTCCATCCCCAGTGCTGTGGGGATGTGGAGGGGGGAAACCATCTCCGAGGCTTGCTGAGACGTACCTTAATTTCTAGCATTACATGAAGGACTGGGGTCAGTCCTCAGCACCACATGGACTGGCATGGCGCACGTGCCTGAAACCCCAGCACTTGGTAGAGAAGGAGTAGTAGGACCAGGGGTTCAAGCACGTCTTTCGCTACATAGTGAGTTGAAAGCCAACCTGAGCCACGAGAGACCTTGTGTCCAATAATGGATTAAAAAAAAAAAAAAATGGATTGTAGGATGCAGTTCAGCAGGTGGAATGCTGCTTGTCTAGTGCGCACTTAGCCCTGGGTTCTAACCCTCGTGTCACACAGCCCTGGGCATGGTTGTACATATGTCTGTAATCCTAGTGCTTGGGTGGAAGCAAGAGCATGCAAAGTTCAAGGTCACGCTCGTGAGATCCTGTCCCAAAACAAGCAGCAGCAGCAACAACCATGTGTCTAAAGTCAAAATGTGTGCTGGGGGGGGGGGGGGGGGTGAGCCTAGTTCTCACAGAGATAAGACACCAGGACAGCACACTACACTGGCAAACCCCAGAATCTGAGCCCATTTTCTGTGCGTCCTTTATTAATCAGACATCGGGACCTCGACCAAGGCAGCAATCTTAACCGCTGAGCCGTCTCTCCAGTCCCTGGATTTCCTTTCTTTCTTTTTTCCACCCCACCCCCCACCCCACCCCAGATCTGAGGACTGGACCCAGGGCCTTTGGCTTCCCAGGGAAGTGCTCTACCACGGAGCTAAATCCCCAACCCATGCTTGTCATTTATTAGACCTGCACATTCTTGGCACACACCCGCTAAGTCTCGGTGCTGTTCTCAACCCGATGGGCCAGTGGGAAACAGGATGAGAAGGGGCCTGCTTCTCCTTCCCGTGTGTCTAGTTGAAGGAGACAGATAATTTCACACATTAAAAAAAAAAAAACAACAAAAAAACAACAAATCAAATGGGGTCACAGGAGAGGAAGAGGAAGTGGCTGTGGTGTTTCAGAAAGGGTTTTCCTAGACCAGGGTCACAGAAGGCCTTTGGAAACCTTTGATCTGAGACCTAAATGATTAAAAAAGAAGCCAGCCATAAGAGCAAAATGATCTATAAATAGGAAGACAGAATGTGATAGGTGTGGTGCTGATTCTTTTTTTCCTCCTTCTTCCAGATGAGCCTGTGGGTCCAGAGGCGGTAGTTTTGTTTTTGTTTTTGTTCCTGCTGGGACTCCTAGAGTCTAGAGTAGTGAGGGACACATAGTAGAAACTCAATAAATGTTTTGCGACTGAGTGAACACATGAGTTGGTAGGCTTAGCCCAATGAGGCAGCAATGAGAGTTCACTCCTGGGCTTCTTGTTACAGAGACATCGCCACGATGGATGAGCAGGGCTTCTGCAAGATTGTAGGCCGGTCTAAGGACATGATCATCCGGGGAGGTGAGAACATCTACCCTGCAGAGCTGGAGGACTTCTTCCACAAACACCCGCAGGTGCAGGAGGCGCAGGTGAGGCACTGTGCACCAGCGAGGCCCGGGGAGTAGCCGATGGATAGCAAGGGGTCTGTCTGCCTCCGCTTTCTACTGCTGTGATGAAACACCATGACCAAAAGCAACTTGGGGAGGAAAGGGTTTATTTCATCTTATGCTTCCATATCACAATCCATCATCAGAGGGAAGGTGGGGCTGGAATTCAAAGCCAGAACCTGGAAGCAGGAACTGAAGGAGTGCTGCCCACTGGCTTGCTTGCCATGGCTTTAAAGATTTATTTATTATGTGTAATACGTTCTGCCTGCATGTACACCTTCACAACAGAAGAGGGCACCAGATCTCATCATAGATGGTTGTGAGGTGCGATGTGGTTGCTGGGAAGTGAACTCAGGATCTCTGGAAGAGCAGCCAAGTGCTCTTAACCTCTGAGCCATCTCTCCAGCCCTCAGCGTGCTTTTTTTTTTTTTTTTTTTTTTTTTTTCCTAACACCCAGGACCACCCAGCAGTGGCACCACCCGAAATGAGCTGCCAATCATCAATCAAGAAAATGCAGCCTACCCCCTGGTGGGAGGGGGGCATTTTCTCCCTTTCTCTCTCTTTCCAAATGACTCTAGCCTGTGTCAAGCTGGCATGAGAAACTAGCCAGCCTGGGGTTTGATGTGTGGTGTTTGTCCTTGGACAGGTGGTGGGGGTGAAGGATGAGCGGATGGGGGAGGAGATCTGTGCTTGCATCCGGCTGAAGAGCGGGGAGACCACCACAGAGGAGGAGATCAAAGCTTTCTGCAAAGGGAAGGTGGGAGCCCCAGTCACCCTCACTCACTCACCTGCCTCCTCTCCCTGCCAGTCATCCTGGGTGGGGGTGGGGGGGTGCTGCCCTGATGGACGCAACTCCCCAGCCAGGGGAGTGCCCAGCCTCACCCTTTCCCTCTCTGCTTTGTAGATCGCCCACTTTAAGATCCCCCGCTACATCGTGTTTGTTGAAGGCTATCCTCTCACCATCTCGGGAAAGGTGTGTAAGGTGGAGGAGACTGGAGAGGGGCAGGGCAGCGTGGGGCCCCTTGGGGGCTAGCTGCAGAAAGCTAGGTGCCCCACTGGTACCTCCCTCAACAACGAGCCAGTGAGCTTGGCAGCAGGAGGACCGAGAAGTCACTTCATCCTGATTTGCCCCGGGCTTTCTTGGGTTTTGGTCCTTGTTCCCCTCCTCCACTGGCATTCCCAGGCAAACCATAGATGGTCGGTTACCATAGCACCAGAGCACAGCGTAGAGTCTCACTCTTGTCTCTCTTCTAGATCCAGAAATTCAAACTCCGGGAGCAGATGGAGCAACACCTAAAACTGTGAAGCAAAGGAGGGTTCTCCCAGCCCCTTCCAGCCCTCTCGGAGCCCCTTAGCCCCCTCACACAAAGGAGAGCCCTCCCCGCCCTTCTCAGCCTGCCAGGCCCCTCTTCAGTCCTCCCACGTAAAGGAGGGTCCTACTAGCCCTCTCAGGCTTTCCTGAGCCCTCCTCTTGCCCCTTGTCACCTTTATGACTTGGCATAAAGACTTTCGATGGTTGGCCAGTGTCTGGCTGGTGTGGCTCCTGTGGGATGGAGAAAGGAAGAGGGGAGCCAGCTCCTTCAGACCTAAGCCTCCAGGCACTTTGCTGTGAATTATCTAATCTCAGCCTCCCCCTGTCCCCTTGAAATTCCAAGCACCCCGCCCCCTATTTTTTTCCCTTTGAGACAGGATCTCACTGTGTTCCCCTAGCTGTGCTGTACATCAGGCTGGTTTTGAACTCAACAGAGATCTCATTGCCTCTGCCTCTGGAGCGCTGGCATCAAAGTCTTTTGTGCTCCCATGCCTGGCTCCTCTTTTTTTTTTTTTTTTTTTTTTTTTTTTTTTGTAAGCTTTAGTCATTTAATCGTTTTTCAAAGTTTTGTTTGCTTGTTTTCCAGTTCTGGGACTCTTAAAGCCCCCCACATGCTGGATAAGGACTTTTCGAAACACTGGCCTCCACTCCCAGAGCAATAATTCTTCATCTTGTTTGAATTAACAGCTTTGAGCGCTAGAGAGAGGGCTCAGTGGCTAAGAGGACTGGCCGCTGTTGCAGAAGATTCGAATTTGATTCTCAGCACTGACACTGGCAGCTCACAACTATCTTTAACTCCAGCTCCAGAGGACTGATGCTCTCTTCTGGCCTCTGAGGGTACCGAGCTCCCTCCCCCCAACACGTGATACATGCTTACATAGACACATGCAAATAAATAAAAATGAATCTGTAAAATAACACGTTTATTGAGCTGTAACTCACATCCTATCCAGTTCACCCACTTTTTAAAAATAATTTATTAATTTTATTTTATTGCATCAGTGTGAAGGTGTCAGATCCCCTGGAACTGGAGTTATAAGACAGTTGCGAGCTGCCATGTGGGTGCTGGAAATTGAATCCGGGTCCTTTAGGAAGAACAAACACTGCTCTTAACCACTGAGCCATCTCTTCAGTCCCAGCTTACCCATTTTAAAACACATATTTCCAACATTTTTGGATTTGAATGTATGTATAACCAGCATCAAAGCCAACTTTAAACATTGCCATCACAGCTGGGTGGTGCCGGACACCTTTGATCCCATCGCTCGGGAGAAAGATGCAGGCAGATCTCTGAGTTCCAGGCCAGCCTAGTCTGTAGTGAGAATTCTGAAATTTTGCTTTCTTTAAAGAACACAGAAATATTTTAAGAATATGTTTTTGTTTTAGTCTCAGATGTGGGGATATGGGAGCTGCCTCAGAGCAACTGACTTATGATTTGCCTCGTGCTCTAGCAGAGGCCTCGTTTTGCCAGCTGCAGCTAGTTTCTACGATTGTGTGACATTCAGAATTCTGGGAACTTTTCAGAGGGTATATAAGTGTGAGGGCCCCGAGAGGCAGGGGTTGGTGTCTGGTGGTCCTTTTGGGGGGGGCTGGTGGTTGGTGGTCCTTCATGGGGGAGGTTGTGGTTTGCTAGTAGTCGTGCTCCAAGAAGAAATATATTAGATCCAAGGATCTTTCTCCCCTCTTTCTTTCTCTCCTATTTAGTGATACGGGGTAAAACGAGAGGGATAGAGGGTGGGAAAGAGAAGAACCTACAAAGCAGTAAAAGGCAACTGCACCACTCTACAGAGCAAGTTCCAGGACAGCCAGGGCTACACAGAGAAACCCTGTCTCAGAAAACCAAAACCAAAACAACGAAAATCGACTCTGTGGTCTTCCTGGGTATGGTGATATAAAGCTTGCAGTTTCACAACTTTGAAGGCAGAACCAAGGTGATTGCTGCAAGTTCAAGCCTAGTCTAGGCTACATAATGACCTTGTCTCAAAAAACAAGTTAAAAAAACGTGAAAAAAAAAAAAAAAGGAAAACCTTATATTTATCATTTTCTCTCTTTTTTTGTTGTTTTTTTTGAGACAGGGTTTCTCTGTTTAGCCATTGGCTGTCCTGGGAACTTGCTCTATAGGCCAGGTTGGCCTTGAACTCCTGGAGATCTGTCTGCCCCTGACCCCTGACTCCCAAGTGCTGGGATGAAAGGCATATACCACCACTGCCCAGCTTCTCCATTTTTTTTTTTCAATCAACCCACTTTTATTTTATTCTATGATTTTTGATTAATGAGCCTGGGATTTCTCTAATGAATATATTCTGCCTCAGCAACAACAACAAACAACAACAGCAAGACAATAGCAATAAAAAAGCAGAATGGTTTAAGATGGGGAACAAGACTGGGTGAAGGTCGGTAGCCTGTGAGTGAATAGCTAATCTTCATGGCTCTTGGAGGGGTCATTTGTTTAAAAAAAAAAAAGTGCCATTAGCATGATCTCAGGGTAGAGATCTATCTAAGGGTAGGGTTCTACCCTCAGCTACTCAAAGATCAGCCACTGGATACTTGACTAGGCCAAAACAAAGAGTCAAGGATTTGGGTGAAGGCAAGCTTCAGGACCCAGGAAAGCAACACAGAACAACAGGGACCGCGATTCAGAGCGCCGCCTACAGTTTGTTACCGGGAAGGAAACGACTGCTATTACTCAGGCGTGACCCCAAGGGTTAGTGGGATTTTCTTCTGTTTTCTTCAGGATGGGACCCAGGTCCTCCAGCATGCTTGGGCAGGCGTTCAATCACTTAGCCATGTCTTCAGTCTGACTGGCGTTTTGTTTGAGCCCGTGTCTCATGTAGCAAGCTTAATCTCAAACTCTTCGTGGCGCTGAGGATGGCTGCGTAAACTCTGCAACCTCCTGCCTCCACTTCCCAAGGGCTACAGTGACCAGTGTGAGCCACTGTTACGTGGCTCCCAATTATTTACTTATTGTTTTTACTGATTTTTAGATAGCTCTTTAGTGGGTGTGGGGATGTAGGTGAAGAGGGCCCAGCACACACGTGGAAGTCAGGACGACCGTGTGGGACCGTTAACCGTTCTCTCCGCCTGTGTGTGAGCTTGGGGAGTCAAGCTCTGGGAGTGAGGCTTGCGACATTGGGTGGCAGGCATTTTTACCCTCTGAGCCGTCTTGCTGGCCCACGGTTATTGGTTTTAAAGCTGAGTAGATGGTTGGTGGTGTGGCACACACCTGTAATCCCAGCACTCAGGGAGGCTGAGGCAGGCAGATCGCTATGAGTTCGAGACCAGCACGGTCTACAGAGTGAGTCCAGGACAGCCAAGGCTACACAGAGAAGCCCTGTCTCAGAAAACCAAATGAATAAGTGAATCAATGAATAAATAAATAATAAAAAAGTGGAGTAAATGCAGGCAATGAAAATCAAGGGATTTTCATTGCCTGCATTGGGATTTGAGGGTTCCCCTCAACTTCAGTCCCCACTTGGAAGTGTTGTCCCTATCTGCAGCCTCAGCGGATTCTCTGAGCTCTGAAGCCCTGAGCTGCCTCAGCACCAGCACGTCCTCCTTCCCGGTGAAAAGATGAGTGTTTATGTTTAAGTTCCTCTTAAGGACCAGGCACTGGTCCAGATGCCTTTCACATGCATCTTCTCTTGAGAGTTTCCCAGCAGTCCCATTAAGTAAGCGTCGATCCACTTCACAGAGGTGACCCTGAAACACGGGAGATCTGCTTTCTAGCCCAAGGAGGTGAAGCCACTTGGGTTAAAGAAAAATCTCCCCAGCGCAACTTCAACTCTCCCTGCTTGTATTTTATTCCTTTCCATTCCTTCCCCAACTCCCACCCTTTTTGTGAGACAGAAACCCCAGAATGACCTCTAATTCCTGATAATCCTTCTGTCTCAACCTCCCGGATGCTGGGATTACAGTTGTGTGTCCCTACTCCTGGCAAATTTTGTGTTCTTTCTTCTTCTTGAGCCAACACCAAGGTTATCTAGAGATCTCTATTGAGTTTGAGGCTAGCCTGGCCTACACAGTGAGTTCCGGACCAGCCAGGGCTATATCGTAAGACCTGTCTTAGAAAAATAGCAACAAAAACCTCAAAACAACAACCACAAATCAAACCTGGACATAGATAAGCAGAATTTGTGATCATGTATGTTTTAGGCTCACATAGTTGCTAAAGCGAGATTAATAGTCTCTAGTCTCGGTGTCTACCCATCTGTGATTTGCATCCCTCTCTGCTTTAAAAGATGCATGAAAGGGGACCTGTGAGAGGGACCAGTGGGTAAAAGACACTTGTCACCAAGCTTCATGCACCGAGTTTGATCTCTGGGACCCACAGAGCGGAGGCAGGGAGCTGACTGATCTTCACATAAGTGGTGTGATATGGGTGCCCATACCCCCCCCCACACACACACGTGCACACACAGATAAATAAGTGAAAAAATGCGGAAGAGGCTCCCAACTAGGGTTAATAGCAAGATGGGTAGCTAAGGGATTCGGACCCGCCATTTCTCAAGCCAAGCTTTCTTCTCCCAACACCATCTCCGGAGCCGTTAGTTTCATTGACAGGAGAGGTGAACCTTTTAGTCCCAGCTGTCTGAAGCGGGTTTATTTTGCACCAGCCATCAACTTGCCTGGGCCGCACAGACAGAACATTCAGCCATGTTACAGGAAGGATGATTTTCTGCTTACACAGAGACAACACTGGAGAAGAGGAGGCTGGGACTCACCGAAGCCGGTGCCCCAGGCTCGGGAGAGCAGCCTGGTGTGGATGGAGTCTCATCTGCCCATGCCCCACCCCTGCTGCAGCACAGCCCTCCCTGAGTTGAATGCTCTAGGGCCATATATACTGCTGGGCTAAAGCACTGAAAGACAATCCCATCTCTAGAGGGGACTAGAACAGCCTGGGCTGTCCTGTCCCGTTCCTCCTGGCTGCTCTAACTCCCCGTGACCTTACGTTCTTGAGGAGGAGGGGGCAAGAACTGCTTTGCCACGAAGTGAGTCTAAAACCCATGATCTTTCCCTGGGGGACAGTCCATCCAAGCCTCTCACATATATCCTGCCTCCCCCTCCCCCCGTCACAGGCCATCTCTGCCCCCTCTTCCATCGGATGCCGGGGACTGGCCTGACTCAGAGATCACAGCCCAATCTCCCTGCCAAGCCAATTCTCCGTGGGATTTTCTTCTCTTTTTCTCTTTTCCAGTTTCCCTCCCTCCCTTCCTTTCTTTAAAAAAAAAAAAAATATATATATATATATATATATATACATATATATGTATATATTATTTTTATTTCATGTGTATGGGTATTTTGCCTGCATATGTCTGTGCACCACAGGCATGCGGTGCTGGGGGAAGTCTGGAACTGGAGTTACAGATGGTTGTGAGCCACAGTGTGGGTGCTGGGTCCTCTGGAAGAGCAGCCAGTGAGTGCTCTTAACCGCCGAGCTGTCTCTCCAGCCCCGGTTTTTACTATTTTTATTTTTTAAAATGTGATTGGGGATTTTGCCTGCGTGTATGTCTGTGTGCCGCACGCATGCCATAACTGTGAGTTTGCTTTCTGTGTGTGTGTCTGTGCGTATCGTGTGCACACGTGAGGCACCTGTGGAGGCCAAAGGACCACTCTGTGGAGCAAGGCTCTCTCCTGGCACGTATTTGTGCATCTCAGGGATCATTCTGGTTTGCAGGGCAACTGTTCCTTGCTGAGCCATGATGTCTGCCACCCCTCTCCCCCCACATACCCCGTTTTGTTTCTTTGAGACACAGACTCTCCCATCGTAGCCCAGGCTGGCTTGCAATTCCCGCAATCCTCCTGTCATAGCCTCTGAAGTTCTAGTGTTACAGCTGTGTGAACCACCGCCCCTGGCTTCCAACGATTTTCTGCTCCTCTGTTGTCCAGCCCACGAGCTTCCTTCCCGTGGACTCCCCGCGCTCCTTAGACTGGGACCTGATTTCTGGTACCTGTCTGCCGGGCGCTCAGACCTGAACCAGGCACACAACGTTCTAATCAACGGACTGACCGAACTACGAGTTCTTGCAGTGGGTCGAGAGAGTCACTCTGGCACAGTTGCTGAGAGGCCAGCGGCCCACGTCCTTGGCAGAGGGCAGGCGGGGAAAGAATAGGCTGTGAGTACGCCAGTGCCCGGCAGGTGGCGCCGCAGACCCGAGGCCCAGGGCTCTCTAGCTGCGCCTGGAGAAGGCTAAGTGAGGTCACGTAGGTCCTCTGCTGACTTCCGCCGGGGCGACCCACGCGGCCAGCCCAGGGCACACCTTTCCCGGACGTGCTGCCCGGGGCTCGGATCCTTGCTTTCCGCCGCCTTGCGCTCCATGGTTGCCTCCCGGGTCCCGACCCGTAGATGGGTGGCAGCGGCCAGGGCGGCCCAGAGGCGCCCCCGTGTGGACAGCCTGGCTGAGCCTCGGAGTCCTGAGCCGGCGAGCACGCGCGCGGCGCTTTATGTGCACGTGAGTGGGCGGGGGAGGGCAGAAGGACGTGGTGGCCGCGCCAGGCGCTTGTCCCTCTGTTCCCCAACATCACAGCTGGCATAGCATCTGTCCCCCGCGTGCTACCCCACCAGGAAAAGTCTTGGGCCAAAGATCTCACCCAAGTCTGGTGCTTGTCTGCCGGGTGACCCCTTTGGAGCCTGTTTTGTCATACTGAAACGGGCCGAGTGATCTCATCGCCACCTGCCTAGGGGCGCAGAAGTGGCTTTAGTTGTCGTGGCCACCGCTGACCAACCTCAGAAAGGGAGTGGGGATGTGTGAGATAAACCTTGGAAGGGTCCTGGGCATCCCAGAGCCCGGCCTCAGTTGCTACACGCACCCTCTTACCCCCCCCCCCCCCCGCCCCCCCCCCCCCCCCTGTCGCCCCCCCCCCCCCCCCCCCCCCCCCCCCCCCGGCCCCAGTGGCCCTATTGCGAGAAGCGCTGCAGCTACTGCAACTTCAACAAGTACATCCCCCGCGGCGTGGAGGAGGGGGCCGTGCGGAACTGCCTGGTGACCGAGGCGCGGACGCTGCTGCGGCTCAGCGGGGTGCAAAGGTCGGTACCCGGGACGGTAGGCGAGGTCCCGGGGTGGGAGTGGACAAGACAGGCGGGCGGGCGTCCCCAGAGGCTTTCCCCACGCGCGTCTCAGTTCTCTTCCTCCAGGGTGGAGTCTGTGTTCTTCGGGGGCGGAACCCCGAGTCTGGCCAGTCCGCACACCGTGGCTGCCGTCCTGGAGGCCGTGGCACAGGAGGTCCACCTGCCTGCAGATGCGGAAGTCACCCTGGAGGCTAACCCAGCTTCGGCCCCCGGGCCCAGGCTGGCAGGGTTTGGAGCAGCGGGAGTCAACAGGTTGTCCGTCGGTTTACAGGTGACCCATCTCCCCGGCCCCATCCCAGTGCCCTGGGAAAACATTCCTGGGTACCAGGGCCTGGCGCACAGTAGACTGAGTAGCAATGCTTTCCTTACTGTCTTCTCTGCTGTTAGGCTGGCTCATACACATCCTGAGGCAGGCCTTGGCGTTATTATTATTGTTGTTGTTGTTGTTTTGAGACGGGGTACCCGGTAGCCCAGGCTGGCCTCAAATTTGGTGTATAGCCAAGGATGACCCCGAGCTCCTGATTCTTCTGCCTGTTGGATTGGGATTATAAGCATGTACCACCATGCCCAGTTTGTGTGGTGATGGAGGTCAAACCCAGGGCATGCTAGGCAAGCATTCTACTAACGGCTATATTACCAGCCAGTATTATTATCATTATCATTATTATTATTATTATTATTATTATTATTATTATTATTATTATTATTTTACTCTGAGACTGGAACTCACACTGTAGCTCAGGCTGGCCTCCCACTCCCTGCAATCTCTCTGATCTCCCTGCCTCAGCCTTTCAACTCCTGGCATTACAGGCACGGGGTCCAGCTAGCCTAACCTTTTATATTCCGGTCATTTAACACACTACCCGCCCTGTGGTAGGCGCTGCGCAGGTGTGGGCGATGAGATGGCTCAGTGGTTAAAGCCCGACACCCACACAAACGCTGGCTGGGTGGGTATGGCGGCCTGCCTGCATTCCCACCACTTGGAGGCACAGATAAAGGAATCCTCCCTTCCCCTCCCTCACTTAGTGCTGGCTAGCCAGGCTTAACCGTAGCAGCCGACTGCGGTTTTAACTCGGTGAATAAAGTAGCAAAAATAAGAAAGACAACCCCTCCCCCCACTATGAACATTAGGCTTTCACAAATGCACACTCATACCACACATGCACTCGCCCCCACCCTCACACACGTGTGAACACAAACACACAGTCACACTTCACACAGGCAGGCATCAAAGAAAGGAAGAAAAAAAAAAAAACTGGGTGGGGCTTGTTCAACGATTAGAGACATGGAGGCAGGCGGGCAGCCAGATCGCGGCCAGGTAAATACTCCCTCTAGAGGGAATCTGAGTACAGCCTGAGGGACCGCCCAGCCTGATGAAATCGTGGAAGCCTTCCTGGAGGAAATGACATGTGAGTGAGACAGAGCAGGTGTTTACCAGGTAAGGGGGTGTGGGAGGACAGAGCGCAGGATGTGGAAGGACTTTTCATGCTGTGTGTGTGGGGGTGCTGTGTCATTCCCTGTGACGGGAGAGACAGGAGACAAGGCTGCCAAACAGGCCGGAAAGCCTTCAGCTCCTGTGGGAGTTTGGGGTTTCTCCCGTTGGGGGAGCTTCTGGAGGTGTGTTTATGAGTCAGGAGAAATCTCTCCTAGGTTGACCTCTCAGGGTTCCGATTGCAGTCCCTGCTGCACCCCTTTGCCGAGGTGTGCTTCGAGGGGCCTTAGTGTATAGGGCCTTTGGATAGTCTGAAAGGGGATGCACCATGTCTGGATGTTTTCTCTGTGTAGAAACCAGAGGATTTCTCTGTGTAGACTTGGCTGTCCAGGACCAGATTGGTAGATCAGACTGGCCTCAAACTCACAGAAATACACCTGCCTCCACCTTCCTAGTACTGGGATTAAAGGCATGTACCACCAGGCCCAGATCAGTGCTTCCTTTTTTATTTTTATTTTTCTTTCTCTCTCTCTCTCTCTCTCTCTCTCTCTCTCTCTCTCTCTTTTTTAAGACCAGGTCTTACAGCCCACTCTGGCCTTAAATTTGTTATGTAGCTGAGGCCAACTTTGAGCTCTTGATCCTCCGCCTACACCTCCCCAAGTATTGGGATTACAGATGTGTACCACCACAACTGACTCCTAGTTATGAGGAGCACTGTCTGCTCTTCCAGAGGTCCTGAGTTCAATTCCCAGCATCCACGTGGTGACTCCCAACCATCTATATGAAATCTGGTGCCCTGGCGTGTAGGTGTACATGCAGGCAGAACATTGTATACATAATAAATCTTAAAAAAAAAAAAAAAGACAGAGAGAGCCTTTGGGTCTGGGTGTAGTGACACACAGTTGACATCTCATTACTCAGGAGGCTGAGGCAGGAGGGTTGCCATGAGTTCAAAACCAGCCTGAGCTCTTTAGTGAGACCCTGTCTCAAAAAGAAGCAAGCCAGCCAGCCCTTTTGGAAACTTGGTAGTTATGCTTTGTTACATATAGCTAGGGGCCCTTATTGAGCTTTTAGGCTTGAGTTAATTCAAAATTTAAAAAGGGCCAGCAAGATGGCTCAGCGGATAAAGGGACTTGCAGCCAAGCCTGATCACCTGAGTTCTATTTCCCATCAGAACTTACACGATGGCAGGAAAGAACCAACTCCTCAACTTAACCTTTGACCTCTATATGATCGCTGTTATGCATCCCCAATATTAATATAAACAGATTATAAACATAATATTAAATATATTTGCTTTTATAATAAATAGTAAATACATTTGTCTTGAGAATAAGTACTATAAAATATTAATAATATTTTGTAATAAATATATTAGGGGCGAAAGCCTGTTGGGTGGAGAAGTACCCACTCCTAAATCCCTGGTCTGATGTTTTAGTCATCCAGCCCCAAGACAGTTCCCTAACCACCTCTGAACCTTAGCTTCGTCACCTGTCAAATAGAGCTCATAGCTGAGCACTGTGGCACGTGTCTCTCCTCCCAGCACTCAGCAGGCAGAGGCAGGATACCCCCCAAGTTTGAGGCCAGCCTGGGCTACTTAGTGAGTTCCAAGCCAGCGTTATAGCGAGACCCTGTCCCTTCGGTCTGTTGTGTGTCCCTCACATCTATGCCCCAAATAAGGCTGAGTGCTGCCTCCCCCTGGGACGGCATTTTCACCGGACTCTCTCTCCTCAGTCCCTGGATGACACGGAGCTGCAGCTGCTGGGTCGGACTCACTCAGCCAGAGACGCTTTGCAGACCCTGGCGGAGGCCAGGCGCCTCTTCCCCGGCAGAGTGTCCGTGGATCTGATGCTGGGCCTGCCGGCACAGAAGGTGGAGCCGTGGCTTCAACAGCTTCGGAAGCTGCTGTGCCACTGTGACGACCACCTCTCCCTCTACCAGCTGACCTTGGAACGGGGCACCGCGCTCTTTGCTCAGGTGCAGCAGGGCACCCTCCCAGCCCCCGACCCAGACCTCGCCGCTGAGATGTACCAGGAGGGCAGGACGGTCCTCCGAGACGCTGGCTTTCGCCAGTATGAGGTCTCCAACTTTGCACGGAACGTGAGTGCTGGGCTGATGACTGGGGGTGCGGAACTAGAGAGCTGAGATATAATCAAGGCATCGGGGCCTTCTGATGAGGAGGGTTGCTCTCAGAACCTGAGATGGTGGGAAATTCTGGTCAGAAGCCCCCGGATGTAAGCCGAAGCCAGCTTCGCCTGCTTCAGGGCTGACGGTTCCCTCCTTCACCACAGGGGGCGCTCAGCACTCACAACTGGACTTACTGGCAGTGCGGTCAGTACCTTGGCATTGGGCCTGGTGAGTCGATCGTGAACAACCGAAAGCATGATTCAGGAGAGGAACATTCTGGTTGTGTGAACTAGGACTGCTCATTTAACCACCCAGAGCCTGCATTTCCTCACACAGAGTACGCAAAACCTCTCGGTCGAACCGTGGAATGCCAATCTTCAGGCTTTTGCAGCCTGGTTGGTGCCGTGGTTTTGAGTCTGGCACAGATACCAAAGCCCCTGGGAGCGTGTTGCAACCCAGAATGCTGGGCCCTACCCTCCAGGACTTCTCATGGGCAGGGCTGCTTACGCTTACAGTGGCTGCTTCAGAAACCACGCTTGGAAGACTCCCCGACTTAAATCTGATAATTCACCATGCTGGCTTCTATTCATGTGTATGTGGTGGTTGTTTATTGATACCGTCAGGAGCCCATGGACAGTTTGTGCCCCGGGGATCCGGAAGCCACACCCGGGAAGCACGGATCCAGACGCTGGAGCCCGACAACTGGATGAAAGAGGTGATGCTGTTTGGCCACGGCACGCGGAAGTGCGTCCCCTTGGGCAAGCTGGAGCTGTGAGTACCTCGGTACACCGGGCTCTGCCCCCAGCTCCCCAGCGCCCCAGAAGCCCCTGCATGTTTTTCCAGCACTACTGCCTGCTTTGCCTCTGCCACCGTGCCCCATACCCACGCCAGCACATCCGGGCATTGGGTGTAAACATTGTGAGTTCTCGTCTCTTTAAGTTCCCGTGGTGATTTTCTTTCAGGCTGGAGGAGGTTTTGGCCATGGGGCTGCGCACTGACGTGGGGGTCACGCACCAGGTGAGGGATTCGGGGTTCTCACAGACCATCAGCCCCTCCCAAGAGTTAGGTCATCAGTCACTTCCCGGACCCTCCTCCCTCCATCCTCTGGGTTGGACCCGGTCAGCTGAAGCCTAAGGACAGAAGCAGTAGGCAGTGCTGTGTGAGGGTTAGACCCATAGACTAGGGCTGCAGCGTCCTGGTTCCAGACCTTATTCTGTTGCAACCGAGTGCAAATTTTTTCACCCCTGTGAACTTTGACTCTCTCAGCTATGTGAAAGACTCAACTAGGTAAAGGGTTTTCTTTTCTTTTCTTTTTAAATAATGCTAAAGATTTCACCTAGAGCACCGTGATGCTCTGTGCTGGGCAGGTGATCTACCACTGAGCTATTCACCATGAAATCCAAATATTATGTGCACACACACACACACACACATACGCACATACATGTGTGTGTGGAGGTACATTCATTTGCGTGTATGCAGAGGCCAGAGAAGGTTGTCAGGTATCCTGCCCTATGGCTCTTTGCCTAATTCTCTTGAGACAAGGTCTCTGAACCTGCAGCCCAGCTGGCAGCCAGAATGCTCCTGTCGTCCCACTGTCTCCACCCGCTAATGCTGGGGTTACAGGCACACTCCACCATCCCTAGCTTTTTACATGAGTTTTGGAGATTTGAACTCAGGTCTCTTCATACTTTGACAACAGAAACCCTTATGCCAAGCTGTCTCTCCAGCTCCCATATATATATATTCACATTTGCCCTCTGCCCCTCTCGTGACCAAGATGGCCTCAAACTCATGGAGCTCTGTCTGCCTCTGCCTCCTGAGTGGTAGGATTAAAAGCCTGTGCCACCACACGCGGCATCTATACAGTGTCACCCAAATACTCCTAAGTGCACTGAAACTTCAGGTGGGAAGAATCATAGATGGTGACTGATCAGATTCCCAGTTAGTGTGGATGATGCTAGCACTGCCCATTTGAGGGGACAACAGGAGAGAGTAGGAGACGAAGAGACTTGTCCTCACTAGAGGCTGGGTGTGGGCCTCCACAGGCAAGGAGAATGAAGGTACACATGTTCCCTCCGGCCCATTGACAGTCCTGGTGTTCATGAGCATTATTGCTGAGACACCGTGCTAGGCTCTCCCTGACCGTTTTCTGTGTCCAGCCACAAGGCCCTCCGCTGGCTCATTGCCTGACCCTTCTGGTTTCCAGCACTGGCAGCAGTTCGAGCCCCAGCTGACCCTGTGGGGCGTGTTTGGAACAAGCAAGGAGGTGAAGGAGCTGCTAGCACGGGGTCTGTTGCTGCTGGACCACAGGTGTGTTGGGAGTATTGTACAGAGGGGGCTTAGGGATCCCTGGGAACCCTGACTACAGATATGGGCATGGGAGGGCATGGGAGGGCACGGGCATGCCTCTTCAAAGTAGCAGAAAGAAGACAGACCAGTAGAGAAGGGTCCAAGGGGCCCCAGGGGTGCATGGGTTGGAACGGGCCTTAAAATGGTAAAGCAAGAGTTACATCCAGGCCTCTCGGTTTTCCAGGGGCCTCCGGTGTTCCTGGGAAGGTCTGGCTGTGCTGGACTCACTGTTATTGATCCTCCTGCCTCAACTCCAAGAAGCCTGGCGGCACATGACCCCCTCACCCGTGTCAGGAGGATGACCAGACGTTCCCGTATCGTAGGGCAACACCAGTTGGACCTGGAGGGCCAGGGCAGCATGGTGGGCATCTCTCCCTGGTCTGCAGGTGCCGCTCTGCCATCTCTGCTCTGAGCTGTTATTGCTTGGCTCTGGCCTCCCCATGGGAATGGCTGTGGTGGACTAGGTGGAAGGAGGTCTTTGGTCCAGGGACCGGCATCCCACGTAGCATCCCAGGAGTCACAGATCAGCACGTGTTCCTGACAAGGGCGTCCTCATCACACACTGGCTTTTGTTCTCTCTTTTTGGACACCAACTAACAAGCGATATTGGGAAATCTTTCTACAGGGAATCATATCCCTCAGGGAAGCCTCCCTTATTCTAGAGTGAAGCCCTGAGTTAGCTTGTCTGATTCAGTAGAACTAAATCCCCTCCAGATACCTTAAATGAGGAATAGAGGGGTGAGATTTTTACGAAGCCATTTGAGGGGCTGGAGAGATGGCTCAGTGGTAAGAGCACTGTTTTCTCATCCCATCCAGAGGAGCAGGGTTCAATTCCTAGCAGCCACATGGCAGCTCACAACCATCTGTAACTCCTATCCAGGAGATCTGGCACCTTCTAATGACCTCAGGAGGTACCAGGCACATATGTGGATACATGGATAGTCCTGCAGGCAAAACATTCTTATGTATAAAACGAAAATAAATTAATCTTTTAAAAAAAAAAACATATTTGAGATTTTTAGTCAAGGCCATTTTGTTGGGCAGAAATATATCCTGTGCTCTGGGTATGCCTCACTGTTTCTTGAATGTTGAATTCAGGTTCAACTTTTTAAAAAATATTTTAATTTTTATTATTTATTTGTTTCAAGACAGAGTTTCTCTACATAGCAGTGGCTGCCCTGAAACTTGCTCTGTAGACCAGGCTTGGATCACAGAAATCCACCTGCCTTTGCCTTCCCAGTGCTTGGATTAAAGGTGTGCAAACATTGCCTACCTTTAACTTTTTTAAAAAGTGTGTGTGTGTGTGTGTGTGTGTGTGTGTGTGTGTGTGTGTGTACATGCTCCCATGGAGGTCAGAAGAGAGTGTTGCATCCTCTGGAGCTGGAGTTACAGCCACCTTCCCTGGACACCAAACTCTGGTCCTCTAGAAGAGCAGGAAGCCCTCTCAGCTGCTGAGCCATCTCTCCAGCTCTTGTTTATAATTAAACAAAATGTTTTTGAGACTGTGTCCTTCGTACCCCAGACTGCAAACTCACCACATAGCTGAAGACAATGGTGACCCCCTTTTGATCCCCCTGCTTCACCTCCCAAGGGTCGAGATCACAGGCATGCGCCACCACACCCATCTTCCTGTGGTTCTGGACTTCATGCTCTGAGGCCAACACTACCAACTACGTCTCCAACCCTATCAGGTTCAGCTTTTTTTTCTTAAATTTAGCTGTATCTATCCTGCTATGTAAGGATAGTATTTCCTGTGCCTGCTTGAATGTCCACCACATTCGTGCCTGTTGGATCCCCCAGAACTGGGGTTATGGATGGTTGTAAGCCACAGTGTGGGTGCTGGGAATTGAACCTGGGTCCTCTGCCAGATCAAGCGAGTGCTCATAACTGTTGAGCCATCTGTCCAGCCCCTCAGGCTCAGTATTACACAGTTGCATCTCTTCTTTGGAATTAAGGAGCTCATCATCTGTGGCATGGTGGATGCCATGACACCGAGTGGATGTCCCATACTGATAACCATTTGACCAGTGATTTTTTTTTTTTTTTGGCACTTACTAGTGATTCTTTAACAAATAATTTCTTGTTTTTCATTTATGTATTATTTTATGTATATGAACACTCTATTTGCATGTGTGCCTGCATGACAGAAATGGGCATCAGATCCCATTAATAGGCAGCTGGGAGTCATCATGTGGTTGCTGGGAATTGAACTCAGGACCTCTGGAAGAGCAGCTAGTGCTCTAAACTGCAAAACCATCTCTCCAGCCCATCCAAATTATTTCTTAAATTGAAGATTGCGAAGTATTGGTGTCTTATTTCTATTATTATTTCCAAATTCATTAATTGCCGTTTCTGCCATAAAAAAAGAACTTTTCTTTGTTATTGTTACAATGCTAGGAGTCAGACCTATGTATGGCCTTGCTCAAGCCAAACAGTTGTTCATCTGCTAAACTAAGCCCAAGCTTCTTCCTTCCTTCCTTCCTTCCTTCCTTCCTTTTTTCTTTTCTTTTTTTTTCCTCTCCTTTTAATGGGCTGATCCTCAGTGTCATAATCCAGACTAGATTGTGGCTTAGGCCATGTCCACTGCAGCAACCTCATGCTAAGAGTCACAAGCCTGTGGACCCCTAGCCCTGTGCCAGCCTCCTCCCACCCCACAGACTTCAGATTGTCAGACTCCCTGGACTGGGAGGTCTGCCATAATGGGTATGTCTCAAATAGATGTGCCCCGCTTCTTCTTCCTGACAATATAAGACCTTTCTTCTCCTCCCCTGCTGACTGGAGGGGAGTCAGAGACAGCCTGGTTAGATGAAACCTTCCCTTTCTTCTGAGACCTATAGGGAAGGACCCTCCACTCTGCCTCGGGGAGCTTGAATTCTCTTCAGACCCCAGTCGTGTTGTCTATATGCCTATGGCTTGGGGCCTGAACAAAATCTCTTACCCAAAAAGACAAACCTACAGGTTCCTCCTTGAGCCACTTCCAGCCCTTCACTCTTTGATAACTTGGAAATTGTATGCCATGCGTGTGTGTGTGTGTGTGTGTGTGTGTGTGTGTGTGTGTGGTTTGTTTCGCTGTGCTAGGGCTGGGACTCAGGACCTCTGGATGTTAAGCAATCCTGTCACTGAGTTACATCCTTGGCCTAAGGCTCCTTAACTAACTCCTTATCATGACAAAGGGTATCACAGTGCCAGAACTAATTTAGTAACCCTGCAGATGGAAGCATGCTGGTCTCTAGCGGATGATGAAAGATGGGGTCCCCCCACACCTCTTAGGGTTAAGCACGTGTCTTTCCCATGTGCTGGTGGGTGTGAGTGCCAGTCCTTTTTTGACCCTGTGGTAAGGTGGTAACTGTTACTTTATTCATGAGCTGTTCATCGAGCACCAGTGGTGTGCCAAGCATTGCACTGGGCACGAACAGAGGAATAAGACCTGTTCGTGCTCTTTGGGAGTTTGTTGCCATGTTGACAGATGCTCCGAGAGATAAAGCCCAGGGTTGTTGGTCAAGCTATTAGGGACAGGTATGGGAGCCTGGAGGGCATTGGGTTTTGAGGGGCTGAGAGAAAGAAAACATGGAAATGTATTTTTCTTCCCGATTCTTGTATCCCTAAGACCCAGGAGACCCTAGGCTTGGAGCAGGTGGGGGAGGTGGTCTGTGCTGTTAAAGGTTACCCCTGCCCCAGCCTTCCCCTGATCTTGACATTCAAGGAGCTGGCACAGGGCTGGAGGAGGTGCTCCATCAGATAAACCGTGGCCACTCGGGTTTCTCCTACCTGCCAGGGCTTGTGGCACCTGAGCTGTCGGGGCCCTCCTTGCTGAGGCACCTCAGGGAGCCCGTGTAGGGGCTGGATGGGAGCCAAGGCCAGATCAGGGTGGCCCCAATCACCTTCCGTGACTCAGCCTGGTCCCACCCTTTCCAGATGAATCAGAACCTCCTGGATGTAGGGCCCAGGAATCCAGCTACGGAATGCTTCCTCAAGGCTCCCAAACCAGGCCCAGCTTGGGAAGCCCTGCACACTGTCTTCTCCCCCCTTCCATCCTGGGGTGGGGACTAGAGGCTCATGGCTTCGTGGGAGGGGGGTCCTTCCGTGGCTTGTCCACCAAGCAGGTCATCTTCCGCTTTGGGACTTTGGTTGTTGTCTTCTCAGTACTGTTTTGTGGTTTTAGATAGTCTCTCGTAATCTGGCCTGGAGTTCTGTGTAGCTAAAGGTAACCTTAAACTCCCGGTTCTGCAGCCTCCACCTCCCAAGTGCTAGGATTTACAGGCGTGTCCCATCAGGCCTGGCCTCATCTTTACTGAAATCATCTCTAGGTTACCTGTAATACCTAATATGGAATAAATCTGTGTAAATAGGGCTGTTGAGATGGCTCAGTGGGTAAAGACACTTGCCATCAAGCCTGATGATCCTAGGTTGATCCCCAGGACATACACGAAAGAGTTGCCCCTTGCAAGTTGTCCTCTGACCTCCACAAGAGTGCCATGATGTGTGCAGACACCCTAAAGAAATGAATGCAATTTTTAAAAAGGAGGGTGGCTGGAGCGATGGCTCATCCGTTAAGAGCAGTTGTTGCTTTTGCAGAGGACTTGAGAGAAGGGGCTTGAGATGCACCAGCTCCAGCTGTAAGCAGTGACCACTGTCTGTGTGTCCCTCTGGCACTGGGGCCTGCATTCTTCAGGTAGAGTCTATTGTGGCAGTCTGCTCTCAGAAGGGAGCCCCGTGGTGAGCAGAGGAGCAGCTAGGCATGGGAGATGAGCAGAAAGAGATTAACATTTGCCGTGTAGCTAGTATATTTTCAGCTAGTTCAGCAAAATTGAGGTTGAGCCGTCAGGGTCTGCAGTCCCAGCAGTCAAAGATTAACCATTTCTAGGAGTGTGTGTGTGGTCATGCGGCTCACTGGCCGAGTGCTGGCCTAGCACACACCCAGCCTGAGCCCCATATCCAGCACTGAGAGAAAGGAGATTCCCCACTGTCGAGATTCTCTTGGTAAGATGAGGATGTAGCTAAGGTATTAGAGGCTTGCCAAGCACATGCTGGTGCAATCCCCAGCACGGAAGAAGCCTGGCAGGTGTCCATCACCCAAGGAAATGAAGGCAGGGACCTCAAGAGTTCAAGGTCAGCTTCAGCTACCTAGCATTTTGGAGGACAGCCTGGGCCATATGGGACCAAAACTCCAAACTAAAACAGAACTGACTCTGTGATAACATTGAATCTTCCTAAACTCTGGGCATCAGAGCTTATTGACTGAGCTTTCTGGTTTCTTTTATCGGAGTTTATAGTGTACCTCATAAACATTATGCACACATAATATAATATTTATATTCCATATACACATAAATATGTATACATATAATATATCCTAATATACAACTACATATAATATATGTGTATGTAATACGTATTATATACTATAGTAGATAATACATAAATATCATACATATAATGTGTGTGTATAAATATATGTATCATATATGCTACATATGATATAAATATTTTGCTACATGCATACATAGCTACTTACCTAGAACCTGGTAGAAGACGCCCAGATCTTCAGATCTTTTTCTTTCTCTTTCTTACCTTCTTTTCCCTGAGGGGAACTTTAAAGCCAGCTTTTTTTTTTTTTAAGATTTATTTTTATTTATTATGTATACAATGTTCTATCTGCATGTACACCTGCATGACAGAAGAAGACACCAGATCTCATTATAGATGGTTGTGAGCCACCATGTGGTTGCTGGGAATTGAACTCAGGACCTTTGGAAGAGCAGTCAGTGCTCTAAACCTCTGAGCCATCTCTCCAGCCAGCTTTTAAACAACTATAGACAAGCAACACAATGGAAACATCAGGGCAGAACTGTAAATGAAAATTTGAAAAAGACAGTATTGCTCGCACTGTTCTCATTTACCCATGTCTCCTTCCCGTGCTTGGCCGGCGTAAGGCATATTTTTGCTGAGTATCCAGGCATGGGTCTAATTTTGTACTGTGCCCCTTTCCCTTCTCATTTTTCACCAGC